GAGCACAAACCCCCGAATTACAGCGCAGTCATCTGTGGGGTCTGGTAGAATCGTTGGTCCTCACTTTATTCAACATAACATCTCCTTTACTGTGGAAATGTAAAACCGGCATGCAACTCCATGTGATCATGGGGCACAATCAACATGGGTTCACAAAGGGAAAGTCCTGTTGAGCTTATTTGAGATCCTTCTGTGATCAGGTCACCTGCCTAGTGAGTGAAAGGATGGTGGTGGATACAGTATTTCCATGTCTCAGAGAAGCTTTTGGTACTGTCCTTCACGGAATCCTGCTGGACACGTTGTGAGCTGTGTCAGATGTGAGCTGAAAGGATACATGGTGCACTGAGTGAAGAACTGGCTGAATGGCAGGGCACAGAGGGTTGTTGTAAACGGGGTGACATCTGGCTGGCAGCTGGTCACCAGTGGTGTTCCTCAGGGATCAGTTCTAGGTCTAGTTCTGTTAGATCTTCTTATCAATGATCTGGATGGAGGAGTTTCATAGGCGAGTTTGCTGATGATGCTAAGCTGCGAGGTGCTGTTGATGCTTTTGATGGACAAGAGGTCTACAGAGGGATCTCTAGATAGACTGGAGCATTGGGCAATCACCAGGGGCATGAAACTGAACAACAGCAGACGCCGAATTCTGCACCCAGGATGGAGGAATGGCAGCCACAAGTGTAAACTGGGAGAGGGGTGGCTGGAGAGCAACTGTGCAGAAAGGGATCTGGAGGTGCTGGCTGGTAGCCGGCGCAGTGTGAGTGAGCAATGTGCCTTGGCAGCCGAGAAGGAAAACCACATGCTGGGGTGCATCACAGGGTAGCAAAAGAGCACATCTCTGACTGCAGTGAGGCTCAAAGATCAAGCCCTCAGCCTGAAGCAGGATGTGCTCCTGAACTCGATGGTTGCAGATCTTTTGTAGTGGGCAATACCTGCTCATTTCCTTGTGATTTCCCCCTGCTCCCAACCCCAGCCCTCCCCCCAAATAGTGGTTTGTAAAAATGCCTGAGTTGTTTCTTTTGGAGAAACAGAACCAAACACGAGAGCCTGAGAAAAACCACACTCCATCAGGAGTCCATCTGGCCCAATACTCTCTGTCCAGTGGCACCCCATACAGGTCTAAAGGAGAGTGTATGTGGGGTGCAGGCCTACTGCTGTCGGGGTCCAGAGGCTGTTCATAGGCCCCAATGCCTGGGACCGGCCTCCGTGGGGACCTGCACTGCAGTGGCCCCTCAGACTTAAGTCAGAGCTTGTCGTGAAGAACTATATGCATAACATATCATAGCTGTTCCGTTCCATTCCATTCCATTCCATTCCATTCCGTTCCATTCCATTCCCTCCCATTTTGTCCATTCCATTCCATCCCATTCCATTCCATTTAATGCCATTCCATTCCATTCCCGGCACTCAGGGTGAGTGGTATAATGATGTGACCACTATTTACCTGAAATCAAAAGGGGTTTTCAGCACTAAAAACACTTTCAAAGACAGAAATCAGACACAAATCAGGTTACAGCTGGAAAGGGTATTTAATTTATTTATAAATATATTTTATTCAGTTTGGTTGAGTTAATTTTAGTCTAGTCTAGATGATATTTTCTTGTTCTAAATCTCCCAGAGCTGATGCTCACAAGCATTAACCCGATGCCCATGTGTAGCCAGCAGCAGGCTGACGCATCCTTCAGTCTAGCTGGAAAAAACCTCCCTGGCAGCCTGATAAAGAAGCAAAGCCGTGACAGGAGCAGTGCCATGGTGGGGCAAGAGCAGTGCGAGAAAGAACCCAGACAGAATGGGCCGAGGAAGACCTGACAAGGGGGAGTGCTCAATGCAACAGAGAGAAGCAGCAAGTCCCAGGGCCATGCTGGGGCCACCCTGGCAGTGCAGAAGGCTTCCTCCCCCTGGATGCAGGGCACGAGGGCCATCTGCGTGGAGCACAAGCAGCTGTCTTTGGGCTACCAATAACCCAAAGGAGCCCCATGGAGGGGCTGTGCTCAGCTGTGGAGGAGGCAAAAAACCCCAGGGACACTTGCTAGTCCACCTGGGGGCAAAAAAGCCTTCCCCCTCCAGCTGCAGGACATGAGGGGCCGCCTTCGTGGTGCATGAGCACCAGGCGATAACAGAGCACCAGGACCAGAGGAGCCCTGACAAGTGGTCTTGCTCAGTGCTCAGAGGAAGGCAAAAAACCCCTGGGGACCAGTGACAGTCTGCCCCAGGGGAAAATTCCTTCCTGACCCCAGCACTGGCAATTGGCTTCTCCCTGAGCACGTGAGCAAGACCTGCTCCCAGTCCACGGGCTGGTTATGCCTCTGAGGGGACAAGGGGACGCTGGCACTGCCTGTTCTGCTTCCACCTGGAGCCATCTCAGGGGCTTCCAACAACAGCAAAATGCCACTGGCCTGATCCAGCCTGGGAGCAAGAACCCTTCCAGTGCCTGGCACTGGAGCTCCAAAGTACTGGTGCAGGGCACTGGGCTTTATAGTGCCCCAGAGCACTGTGATGCCATGTTGGCACTATGACATGGGGGTGATGGGGCCCCCGCAGCCCTGCTGCTGCTGCCCCTTCGCCCAGCATCCCTTGAAGAAAGGCCTTTGGGGTGCTGGCCCTGAGGCAGTGCCTGTGCCCAGGAGGCCCAGGGGCATGTCCCTGTCCATGGCGGCCACACACCGGGCACTGCTGCAGGATGTCCCTCTAAATGAATCCCTATGTCCAGACTATATCAAGAAAAGCTTTTATACCATGTAGTCATTTGAGTGTGGTGGTCCCAGGGACGGAGGGAGGGGCGGAAGGGGGGGACAGGGGCTGTGGTGATAGGACAAGAGGGTAATGAGTTCAAACATAAACAGGGGAAGTTCAGGTTAGATATAAGGAAGTTCTCCTTTGTGACAGTGATGAGGCACTGGAATGGGTTGCCCAGGGAAGCTGTGAATGCTCCATCCCTGGCACTGTTCAAGGCCAGGTTGGACGGAGTCTTGGGTGACATGGTTTAGTGCATGGTACTGTGCTTATGCTTACCATGTGCAACAACCAACCTTCCTTAAGTAAAGACGCCTCCCATCTGTGAACGCAAAATGTTCTGCATTGCTGGATATTATTCTGCATGAATAGCAGAAGTCTAAGTGAAAAAGCACAGCAATTAAATCAACAAGCTGGCTGGGTTTTGTTGGTTTTGTTCACCGAAAGAATAAATCCTTTTTTTTTTTTTTTAAAAAAGGTGGTTAATTTTGAACACTTCTACTTTATCTTTGAGGCACTGGCTGTAGTCAGTTTAATCGGGACTCTGTAACATGGAGACACTGAAAATCATGCCAGTGCAGAAACAACAGCGTACTTATGGGATCCCTATTACTAGCACTTATGATGAATTTTACTCTTAAAAAACACCATCTTTGTTTTCAAGGTAGCTTCTTGTTTGCTAATGGCATAAATAATAGAAAACTTAACAACTGCGAGAAGCTGTCTGAATTTCCTGCACCCATCCGAGACCAAAAGTAAGAATGTTATTATTAGACTAAATTGTGTGCTATGCTACACTGCTAGCATACAGAAGGGGTAAAGGAAGACAGACATGAACTGTGTATGAGATAACTTATTTTATTTATTCAAATCTCAACTTAATTTTGATGCTAAAAATTGGTCAAAGGCACTTCAAAGAAGGTATTTAAGAAACAAATCCTTACAGTGAACATTCCTGACAAGTCACCAACTCATACATGCCATTAGGGACACGACTACCTATAATTGCAAAGTGAAACATTCACAGGTTCGAAGTAGAACGTACTGTCCAGCAGCATTATTCAATTCTTTTGGAGCATTAACAACGTTGTGGAGTATTTTAAATACAATATTGTAAAACAAAGGAAATTACATTTTTGGAGTTCCACAGAAGCTTTTCTTGACAGAAAAAGGGCAAAACTGCCTTTACAAGTGGTCCTGTACTGAGGGATCTGTTTTCACCCATGCCTGCACTATCAACATCAGTAGCAGGCACATCAGAAATGACCCACATTTTTGTGTCATACAACAATAAAACACCCTGCTCAAACAGCAAACTGTTCCTAAGAGGTCTAAATCTATACTTCTGGAAGCCTAACAGAATGATGGCAATACACGAAGAAAAAGTGATTTTTAATATGTACCTCCACCAAAGCAAAAAAAAAAAAGTGTCCCTAAAAGCAAAAGGTACCAGAAAAAGGGAAAAGAGCTGCCACAAAATGCTAACATCACCAGCATTTAAACTCTTAAATAAGACCAACACAGACTGCAAAAATAAAACAACCAAAAACCCCACCAAAAAAAAACGAAACAAACCCAACCAACCAAACAAAAAACCCCAAACAACAAATTGGGTGTGAAAGAATAAAATCAGTCTTCTTCTGCAAAAATACTATCCTCTAATTTAGCAGTGATCAGAAAGTAACTTCTTGGCATCCTTGTTCTCTCTGAACTAAAATCCACTTACCACAGGGTTAAAATGCTACTCTATTACACTAAGTGACATTCCCACATCCAGCTGCAAACAACTGCTGCCTAGTAATCTCAAGGAAAGGAGTTAAAAATTTTTAGGTGGCTCATTTAAATCACTACGGTATCAATGGAAGCTTTTAGGTCTTGAAAAACTGAGAAGCCTCTTTTCGAAATAAAACAAAAGCACAGGGCAATAACCTGTATGGCCTAAGAGAGCCTGTGCCCCTGTGCTTCAGGAAGGTCTATCCACCTCACATACAGCAGCCTCCTTGGGCTGCAGAAGTACTCAAGCTCAAAAAATGCCTTCTCAAAGCACAAAGACCTGGGAGTGAAATAACTACCAATATTATCATGGAATATTATACATGAAAATTATGCGAACTGTTCACATTCTAACCACGTCTACTGAAGCTTTTGAATGCACAGATAGAAGCTAGTTATTTCAGAGGTTTCAGCTCATTGCTATGGCAGTACAACTCAACATAGAACGAAAGCCCTCTATTATAATTGCGGAATGTAAAAACTGATACTTTTCTAGCTTGTCTGGAAGGAAAAAAAGAATTCTTTGCAGTGCTGTTGGAAAGGCAAAAGAAACAGATTCTGAGGCCTAAGCACAAGGACACTTTAAAACAAAGCAAGAATGGACGTTTGAAGAAAAGGCTCCTCTTATTTCTCCAGACAGGCCACCTATTTACCACAAGGTAGTATGTTCTTAGCCTTACTCCCTCAAGAAATGGAACTTGTTCCTTTATTCCTCCATTCCCTCTGAGGTCTTGCATGCTTGTTGAAAGAGACATTCCCGCCCCACTCTGCTAAATGCACAAGCCACAGCTGGGCAGCAGACAAGAATTGGAACTGCTGCCGAGAAAACGCTTCACTGGCAGCTCAGCGGTGCCACCTCGGCAACCAGCCTTGTGCAGAGCTCAAACATCTCCCTGCCTGCTTCCTCTTGTTCACCTGAGACTTGCGCATGATGAAATTGAAAACTCAAAGACAGAAGTCAGGACAGTAAAGAACATGAAGAATAAATGACTTTACTTCACAGAGCAGCACAGGGCAAACACAAGACACAACTCTGCAAAAAAGTCTGCAGTTAGTTCTGCCTGTTGTGGTAGAAAATCTTTAAATCCGCACAGATGAACTGAGGAAGAAAGCCGAAATAAAGGAACCATACGCTAGTTAGGAGATCTTTTACATGGGCTGAATTTACCAAGAGATCAAGTTGGTATCCTGGTTTCATCTTATAGCTTCCCCAAGTATCCCAGAAAATTTTAACTGCATGCTTGAACAATGCCATTGGAAAGATCAAAACCATATGGAGTTCACAATATCACTGGTTTGCGCTGCATATGGGATAAACATTTAGCTCACAGAAGGAAGCACCTTACAGCATGGTACCATCCATTCTCCTCTGGACTAGCATCCCTTTACTAGGGCAAACTGGAGACTTTCTCCTTCTTTAAACAAATGCAGCTATAACTCCCTACTTAAGTCAATTAACATAAAATAAAGTTCATGTCCCTTTCAGTACTTCAGAGGCAGTCGTGCTGATAAAAGACCAGCAGATTTAACCATGCGGGAACTATTCATTTAATTAACACTTGATGTTTGAACCTGGCTTACATTCAGGCAGAGAAGTATGTAATAATTCAGCTCCATCAGAGACTTCAGCAATCACCATCATGCTGCTGAGCAAGGCTCAGAAAGGTAGCCATGACGGTTTACTGATGGGCAACAGACAGAAGCCCAATATGTACAAGAACTATCTTTGGAAAAAAAAAAAAAAGTAAATCCAGTCCTTTATGGTAACATCCTCTTCCAGGAACATCCTGAAGGACAGCAGCAGTAAATAAGGCTGTCTGCTACCAGTATGTGCCCTTTCCAAAACAATGACTGGAGGTAATTAGGTTATGTCCAAATTCATCAATATGATGAAGGTGAAAAGTGAGAAAAAGATGACAAAACTTTTGTTCAAGTGTGGAATAAAGATACACTACATGCCAAGCCTAATCCCATCCCCCACACTGCTATTCACTCAATCTGAAAGAGAAAACCAGAAAGTTTTATATTAACTACATAAAGCATAGACTTGGTCTCTGAAAATCTTCCAGTAATTAAAATACTTACTTTTATCCCACACCAAGAAAGTGTCTTCAGTTAAGAGGCAGAGATACTCAAAGTAATGGAGAAAGTTAATGCACTTTCAAAGATTCCTGCATTCAGGCTGGCTTACCTGAATAACTATATACTTCAGCTTCAAAGAGTGATATAAGGATCATTTAACACTTTGTCCTGAAAAAGGTAACAAGCAGCAGCTACAGAAGAAATTTTTAAAGGTGAAGGGAAAAAAAAAAAAGGAAAAAAAAAAGAGTGAAATTAAGTACTTCAGCCAAATAAATGAGATGCGTAGGGAAGCAGTCAAATCAGCTTTGCTGCCGTTTTAAAATGGGACTTTCTTGTATCTCTAAAATTTTAATGTACAAGGTAACTCCACAGTCTCAAAGTATAGTGACGTGAAAACTAAATGGAAACAAACTAATTATAATACTGGCTGAAACCAAGATATTATAACGTCATTGTAACTTTGCCAAGATACTATTCTTCCTGGTTCAGATGGAAGGAGGGATGGAAGAGAGAATTCTATTTCAAAAAGCATCTACCTTATCTTGTGCTGAGAAATTCTGAGATGAATTTTTATATCCATTCAACCAATACAATAATTTAATGCAAAAGAAAAACATTTTAAAAAGCTACAGGTAAGTATGTAAGCAGCTTGCCTTGCCTCAGCAATTGAAACAACAGTAACCATTTCTGGGTTTCTCCCTAAAGCAGTAGTGATTCAACTTCATATTATTTCATACAAGAGACTTAAAAAAGTTAAAAATAATTCATGGCAGTGAATTCCATTTCTGAAACAACTCAAGATTAATCGTTTGGGTGGATCTCTGCCTATTCATAATAGCCAGTCTGCCATTAAAGCAAAGCAGACTATTTTCACTCCTCTCCCTTGTAGGGCAAGGTACACAAACTAATTTCAAGATACTGAGAATACTAGAGAAAGCCATCATCAAGTATTTGACTATGCAGCATCCACTTTCTACCATTAGAGCTTACCTAACAGAACAGCTGGAAGGAAAAGGGGAACAGAAAAAGGAACAGAAATACTGTTTGATTATCTCTGAAGCCATCCATATGAGTTTCATACAAATTCTTCCAGGTATTAGTGTATCAGAACAACCTCCTATTTCACAGCTTGAGAGCCCTAAATCTTCATTGAGCAGGTCAGCAAGGTCACACTATCCCAAACAGTCAGAGCCAGCACCAGATTCTACTGCACATAGACAGCAACAGGCAGCACTGCCAATGTGATTTTTTAAATAAGAATCACTATCAGTAATTTCAGTCCACAAGCTTCATGCAGGAGTTTGACGAGACTCCTACTCATTGTACTGGCTTCTTTTTGTTTTCTTCAAAGTCTAATTAACTCTCAGTAACTTTTTGCTTTAGCTTCTGATTATCCTCCAGTGCTTCATTTTTGCTTTGCTCTTCTGGATTGGTTGCTGGATCAGGATTGTACCGATACAAATACCCATACGGACGGAGATGATAAATCAAATATTCCAATTGATACATAGTCATGGAATCAACATAGTGGAATGAAACTGCTAGATCGGAGCAGCATCCAGGACCCTAAAATACAAAACAAGTCAAAGTCATCAGCTAAAATTGCAAAGCATGCCCTGCATTAAAGACCCAATAAGAATTCAAAAGCATCCTTGACTTCATGGTAAGAAATTTACTATCATCAGTCACATATATACTCCAAAGCATAATGTCAGGGAAGCAAAATGTATCAAACATCAGCCAAAGCATCTTTCAAAAACAGAAGTTTAACAAAATCGTCTGTTTCTGTAACTAAGCAGGTAAAATACCTAGCTGCTCTCAATAACATCACATTTTTTTTCGCTTTTCCATACTTTGCTTTTTATGTTGGTGTTTAAACAAAACCAAGTGGCAGTGAGCAGGTCTAAATGCATTGCATTTCCATATGAAACAATGCATACATGATACTCATGATAGCATCCACTCAGAGTACACAAGCCAAATAAATGTGTGTGTGCATGCACCTGTGTGTGTGTGTAGGTGTTCACACATTACACAGTTTGGCAAAACCATCAGTATCTAGTTTCCTACAGACAGAGAGTTGTAACGAATCATGTTGGAACTATTTTTTAAGATTATTAATTTCATTGTTCCTCCCCATAGCAGGGGGGTTGGAACTAGATGATCTTCAGGTCCTTTCCAACCCAAACTATTCTGTGATTCTATGATTCATGTTCTTAAGCATTTTTAAGAACTAAAAGATCTTAATTAACACACTTGTTGCAACTTTTATTTTCTAGCTCAAATTCAGCTTTGAGAACACTTTTCTGGAAGACAGTTTGGGAGGGGGCTGTTCATCAGGTTTGGTTGCAGAGCTGCTAATATTCCAATTCTAACTGGAACTAAGATTAAAATATTTAAAGACACTGAAGTGAGCAATTGTTACAGAACTGTTATTCTTTCAATGCTTATTAAGTTTGATCAATATACCATGGTTTTGGTACCAGACAAAGCAGTCTCTATCCAAACACAACTACGATAGGACAGAATCAAATATGTGATTTCCATTACGGATCTCCACCACCACTGCATCCCTTATAGATGTAAGTGCCCACAGCTCAGCCACCTGTGAAGAACAACCGTAGCTAAAGCTGCTGCATCCTGACACACTAAATACGTTATTGTAGCTGGTTTAAACTACAGAACTGCTCTAGGCACTGAATACAAATATAAAAATAAATGCTTTACAATGAAAAGAATCTGCTGAAGAGGTAGATCCCTCCCCCCCCAGCTTTACTGTGTAAGAAATCCTACATCTTATCCTTGATTTTGGCTACTTATGCTCATGTCAAAGCTTGCTGAAAAATAAAACCTTTAAAAGTGAAATTATAATCTTAAGAAGAAACCTAGGTGATCTTACGGTCCTTCCCAACCCTAACTATTCTATGATTATACGATTACGATCAAAGTTTACAATGCAGAATACCTTCAGGTTGCTTTAAGTGGCACCCTGCTCAAACACACACCTTCTGGTTGGTTTTTTTTTTTCCTTTTTAAACCACAGATTTCAGATATGAATACAAAGGACAACTTGAAATTCTTGTAGTAAAAATGTTTCATTTTGTAAACACTACTTCTGTTGCTCTAACAAAAGGATTTTTTAGAATTTACTTTGCCAGCTCTTATGCTTGCCTCCACTTCTACAGAAGGGAGACAAGAGTCCAGTACAAATACACGAGGAAATCTAATCATATTTCTTTGTTTGGATCATGCTGTTATTTCACTTCTAGGCAACGTTCATTATTCTGAAATCTTTTCAATGGAATTCACTTTACCATTACCCACCAGCACCTTGAGTAATATGGGACTCTCTTAGACAAAATTAACCAACTACAATCACTAATGATCCCAAAATTAGTTCTACAGGTTCTATCAAAGTTTGCTGTTGGGTAGAAGATAAAGGTGCATCAGTGCCACCTTCCCTTTCAGTAGGCTTCAATGTAACTAACGTAACTAACACTGCTCGGCCCAGCTCTATGCAGTGAGAGCGTACACCTTGGAATTGACCAGTCTCACTGCACACTTGGTAGTTGGATGGGTGAAGGAGAAACTAGGGGCACTGCGTGCAAGATGGAAGGGACCAAAACAGAACAGTAACTTTGCAAGGAAGGTAGCAGTGGTGACACTAAACAAACATGTCGAAAAGGTTTCATCATTTTTTGCTGTCCACAGAACATAGCAAACCAGCAATAATAATTTAAAATACCCTAGCTCTTTTCCAACATTAGGCTCTTAGCATCAACTTTGAGTTGATTACTGTATTTAACACATCTACACACAGGTGCATCACAGGGTATCACAACAAAATCTTCTTTTCTAAAATATATATTGAGTAACTACTAAACTTCTAATTCACACATCATAAGACGTACTTCATAAAATGGGTACCAGGCTCCTAAGGACTTACCTCTACAGCAGGATAATAATTGTAATTCCAGTACCAGAATGTTTTTGGCAGGTATCCTCTGACTAAGTGATGTTCTGGAACAAAGGGATGAAAGGTTTCTCTACCACTTGTATCCCTAGAATCTCCTGCTTCCACATTAATGATCTCCATGCATTTTCCTAGTGCAAGGTCTTCAATTGAGGAACTATGAGAGCATTTGTTTGTTTTAAATGCAGCAACAAATCTCTTCAGAGCTTCTTTGCTCAGAACATAACCTGCTCCTCCACTCATGTAACCCTGTTTCACATAAGGCTTAAACCTTCTTCCAAAGTATATTGGCTGTTCAGGACTGTATTTTGAAAGAAGCCATCTCAAATTGTCCAATATAACATATGTATCATCATCTGCTTTCATAAACCAATCAGCATCATCAAAATAATGGTCATGCACATACTGAAAAGCTTTAATAGTCTTCCAGTACAGTTGGTCTCTGCCTTCTTTGGCTTCTAGGCCCACAGTTGGGAAGTCTTTGTTTTCCTCGGAGCTCATAAAAAGTATTTTATTACAACGTTGGGCCCAAGTGGCCTTAACATGCCTGGCTTTCTTTTCTAGATTTTGAGGTCCAGTCATGACCCAGCACAGTATTTTCACCTTCTGATACAGTCCCTCTGCAATATTTTTATTCTCATCTAATAAAAAAAAGAGAGAAGTTCCAGAACAATATTAGACTTGATTGCAAAACAAAGAGCAGCCTATCCCCTAGACATTGTTTCTACATCAGAAAAGAGATGCAGAGAGAGAAAAGGCATTTGCTTCCAAATGTAAAAGGTAATGAAATTAATGTCAGATTTAGAAAGAAAGCAAACAAGACTCCCCAAACCCAGAAACTAAAATTTTTAAAGTTACTGATCATTACTGAAATATGATCTTAAGGTCCTCTCCAACCCTAACTATTCTATGATTCTACTTCAACTTAACAGCATAAACAAGAGCATAAAAGCCAGACTGGAATAGGTATCTGTTCAGGAAACAGGCTTTAGAAAACCTTGATTTGTACATCAAAACTGTTGGGAGACAAGTTTTTTATGGTGTTGGAGGATTAATGAAAATTAAAAAGCTGAGTATTTTTGCCATTCACAGTGAACACGATTACAGCACAGAGAGGTCAAAAAGCTAATAAGGTCTGTTGTATATAGTCACGTTAACTAACAAAACCCAGCAATATATTTTTGAAGGTAAAAGCAGGTGGTGAGCCAGAAAGAAAGAATTTATCACCAAACCAAGTTAAATCTTATTTGTAAAAAAACAGATTAAGTTAGGATACTTTGAAACTAGTATTACTCTTCTGCTTAAATGTATTTATTTGCAGACAATCCAACAGAATAAACAGACACGGTTATCTGAGGCACATAATATAATATTCGACAAGCTGCCAAAGCATTAATTTCCCTCAAAGAATCATTTTCACTTGACACAGACACAGCAATTGTAACTCATGTAAAAGAATATTCCATGGCGAGCAAGATCAGCATAACTTGTCCTAAAATATTCCTGTTTATACTTTCTGCAACAACTGATCAGATTTCTTTGTAACAATGCTCCACCGTTACATGTGAAACACTCACAAACTTGTCTTATGAAGTTTGGAGTTTAAATACATTTAAATAGCAAATCACTTATTAACATGTTCAGCAAATGCACTAAAGTGAATTTTTTCTCATCCAAACTGTCCCATCTCAGATGCATTTCTCTGGTTTTAACTGCAACAGCAACCTGTGCTTGTTCACTGGCACAGGTTGCCCAGAGAAGCTGTGGCTACGCCATCCCTGGCAGAGTTCAAGACAAGGTTGGACAGGTCTTTGGGCAACCTGGTCTAGTGGAAGGTGTCCCTGACCATGGCCGGGGGGGGGGGGTGGGGTGGAAATAGGTTATCTTTAAGTTTACCTCCAACCCAAACCATTACAGGGGAAGTTTAGATTGGATATAAGGAGGAAATTCTTTCCTGTTAGGGTGGTGAGGCACTGGAATGGGTTGCCCAGGGAGGTTGTGAATGCTCCATCCCTGGCAGTGTTCAAGGCCAGGTTGGACGAGGCCTTGGGTGATATGATTTAGCGTAAGGTGTCCCTGCCCACAGCAGGGGGGTTGGAACTTGATGATCTTAAGGTCCTTTCCAACCCTAACTATTCTATGATTCTATTGTTCTACGACTGCTGCATAATCAGCTTGGCAAACATTGAAACAATGCGTACAGTGGCCCCCTCTGACCACCCCACCATCCCAAATTTTACTAATTGTGTAAAAAAGTAATTTTATGATTTCTGATTTGGTTTGGATTTGTTTGTTGGGGTTTTGTTACAGCTTTATCTAAGAGGCTATTTCAAAAGTTAGAGGTAGTCCAAAAGTAGCTCCATTAAGCTAAAAAGCAATTCAGGCACATCTACAATGCTAGCAAATACATCTGCTTAGCAAAAACCACCATTTGATATCAATAGTTCATTTGAGAAGCTCCTGCTTCAAACAAGTCTAGATACAGAAGTTCAACAAACAGTTGAGCTCTAAAGAAAAAAAACCCACTACTATAATAAAAATGTAAACAAAGAAAACCACCAGTCATTGGACCTCAGGAGAACAAAGTTATTTAGAGGTAACCTGAACATGGGGAAAGTGAAAGAAAAGGTTCATACAAACTCTTGGCAGTGAATAAAGTAACACTTTGCCATGCATGAGAAGGGAGCATATTATATAATTAGTCAGGCGTAACAAAATACCTTTATGCTGTCCAAAGTCTGCATTGAAATTCATTTGCCCTTGCAGCTGATTGCTATCGGTATCTGATGAGTGCTGACCATGCGGATCATTGTGAAGGACATGAGGCTGGATCTTTACTTGTTCTTCTAGTATAATGCTAAACAGAAGATAGCATACAAAAAATCCTATTGCTGATCCAAAAGTGAAGGTTAGAAGGTTCATCAAAGACTTGGAAGAGGCCATCTCCTGAAGGTAATGCACTGTCAAAACCAAATGAAAAATACATTAAAGCTGCTTAACACAGAAATCAGATCTATAGGAAGAAATCAAGGACTAAATCTCTGGAAGCAGAGATCTCCATTCTAGCTCAGATTCAGCTCCCCTGGGCTTCCCTGGAAGTTTAAGTACTAGAGCAATGCAAATATTCATACAAAATTGTAAATCCACTGATAAACTTAGTGCAAAGGGCTTATCATATTCTTTAGCTTAAAATTATAATCACAATAGTGACTGTACACACAAAACCCTTTCATATTTATACAAGAATGTATACATTTAAAGTGCAATCTCTTAATTATAAACTGCAATATAAGTTCACTTCTTTATTCTCTTCGTTCCAAGAAATCTATGCTTTAAAATGTAATACCTATTATAATGTCATACAAAGCCAAAAGATGATGATCAAAGGCAATCTACAGGTCCAGATACAATATGGACATTGGATGTACCTAAACGCCAGGAGTAAGTATACTATGGGAATTCTTTAAGAGATGTCAAATACCTGCAGATTTTCAAGAGTTATAAAAGCAAATCTACTCTCAAAGTAGGGGACTTTTCCTTCCACTTTTAGGAAGTATTGAGGATACACTTTCAGGAGAAAGAGTAAGACAACATCTGAATTTTCATGCAGAAAACCCCATTCTTAAAGGGAAGAACAAAGTGCCTCAGCCTCAGGGCCTGATCTACAGATCAAACCCCTTGTATTCTGGTAACAAAAAGCAAAAACCTTCAGTTCAACTACACCCCTTCTCCTCAAAAACCAAAGGACTTGGCTGACCATTTTTATAAAATCAAACAAATCTGCATCTACGTCTGCATAAATTTGGATTTATATATCCAAAACAGGTGTGAGGTTTTATTTATTAAACACTTTCAGGCAAACCAATTTCAGGCTGTTGAGGCCCGAGGCCTTTTCATTTTTGCAAAGGGTAGAGATATTTTGTAAGAATTTATGACTAAACTACAAAAACATTGACCATTAAATATATACTGGATTCAAGCCAGAGCCTTACAAACAAGTTGATGATGTTCCCTCCATTAGGATCACTCTTAATGTCTATGGGCAGAACCCACTTTAGTTAGTTAGGGAGCCAAAAAAAGAAAATTATGGAATGCACAGAGCATCAATAAAAAACATTGATCTGAAGAGCTGCAGCCACCAAACAACTCATTTAGCCTGCACTCCCACTTCTCTCATTGGCTATGTACAGTCTATTGGAAAAAGACTGCCCCTGAGCAAGCTGCATAAATCGCTCTGCAGTAACACACACTCCAAATACCAGCTCTCTGTCTGAGTGCTCTCTTGAACAGACAGCAGAGAGGACACAAAGCACGTGTATGTTTTGTTAGGGTGGCTCTTTCAGAAATCATCAGATTTACTGTGCACAAAAAGAAAAAGAAAAACTCATGCAGGCACACACCCTTCTAGAATAAAAAGTCTCCATTGTTCCACTTTCCAATATTGGGCACCTCTTTGCCATACAATTTCGGTTATCTGCTCTAACACCTGTCAAAATTACTCTTGCTTGGAAAGAAAAGAAAATAATTAGAAAAACACGTGAAAATAACTGCTGCTTATTAAATTATGGAATTATGTTAAATTGGATTCTTTAGGAAAAAAAAACTTTAAAGTGCATTGGAAAAGTTATAAGAGAAAAAAGTGCATTCATCACATTTGGAAATCAGAAGTTGATCTGTCATTATTCTAGAAGCAAAGAGGATTTCTGGAAGCAGACTGGGACAGATGCCAAAGCTGTACTTGGTATTTGATATGAAATATCACTGGTTACCATTTTCAATCTAAAATAATCCATCATTATATCAATTTTATATAAACAGACTGGACTACCATATACATATCTGTGTAGCCATATGTTTATAAACTCCAACAGTAAACAGAACAGAAATCTTCATTTTTTTTGTGTTATCCTTATATTTGACCTGAGTCTTTTAACTTGCCAGCAAAAGTAACTGTGCTATAGCATTATAGTAGAACCAGAAAACGCCTATAAGGGAAGTAATTTCTTATTATGATAAGCATCCCCACTCAGACTCTCTATTGACATTCTTTTCTATACAGGGGTTTACTGAGGGTCACAACATACAGAACATTTAAGTGTTCACAGTCAGGTTGGATGAGGCTTTGAGCAACCTGATCTAGCGAAAGATACCACTGCTCATGGCAGGTCATCAGACTAAATGATCTTTAAAGGTCCCTTCCAACACAAACCATTCCATGATCCTATGATTCTATGACATACAGAGGGAAAAGGTATATACAAAACCTACCAGGTTGCTAAAAGAAATTTTATTCATGTTTCTATTTTTACTTCATTTGACTTAAAAAAAAAACAAACAAAAACAAATGCTTTTTAAAAAACACCTACAACAAAATCCTGGTTTAAATTTATGCTCCACTGCCCTATCATGGCAGCTTAAACATATATATACGTATTTAGATACTCACACCAGCCAAACCAACAAATATTCTAACATTCTACCACAACATAAAAGTCACTGCACATGTGGCTCCAAGTTTTGTGAATCTGCATCTTCAAACTTACAGAAAAAGTATTTCTTCTGTGTTAGAAGCTGCTGAAACTGGTAGCCCAATAAAGACAAGGCAGCTGCAACTCCATGTCCCCAGATCTGGCCACTGGCAAGGCTGAGGATGTATTCTCAGACTTGCACATATGAACATGCACATACAGGTGTCTGAACATACAGATCAATACAACTAAAACCGGTGTCTGGGGGGCAAACACAAACATGGGCCAGGAATATGCTGCTTCTCTCCCTAGCTGATTAGGATAAAAGCCTGTTACTGGAAATATACAGGTGTGTACAGTGTGTACAGTGGTGGGATCCGCTATACTGGCCTCAGACACTCAATCTACCCAGGAACCAACACTGACTCCTCAGTCTTCCAAGATCCCCACTCCAGTTGCTGGTACAAACCCCCTTCACATAGATACACACACGTCGCACCCACAGACATGTCACAGCTCCCCAGCAAATGGCCTTAGACATTCAGTCCACTCAATAACTGGCCCTTGGATTCTTTTGTCTCCAGTTGCCCTGCTCAGAAACACACATGCAAATGAGCCTCCAAAACAACCCCGAGATCTTACAGTCCCTCTGGCAGCTGGTTTGCCCTCCTGCACTCTCATATTGCCAAACTGGAGACCTTATGATCTCACTAGTACCTGTCTCACACTTACAGCTGCCTCAAAACCTGGCTCCCAAGTGTCTTACCCTACTTACTGGCTAGCCAGGCATGCTATGCACTAGCAATCACACACTGGCATGCTTGCCAAGACAAAATGCATGCACTCTGCTCTCCGCAGTTACTCGCACTTAAGAGACACATAAGCCACCGTGACTTACAGTCTCCACTGTAGCTGCTGGCATTTAGACCCTCCCTCACTCCAGTCTCTCCCCCTGCTGGCACATCAGACACAAAGGTCCCTATAATTTCGGTTACCACTCCAGTTGTTGGTGCTTATTCCTCAGGATGAATATAGCACAGAGCCCTCCTATCCAGGAAAAGAGAAATGGAGCTTAATGAGAAAAGAGGACAGGCTATGGTAATCTGGCACAGCACATTGCCAAACATAGTGGCCAACCACTTGTTTACAATCAACCAGGCCCTTTAGCCCCTTATCCCTTTTATCACCTTACCCTTCTATTTTCCCATACTTGTTCCGGCTCAGCGAACCTTACTCCCTCATTTTAGTCCATCCCCTAAGCATCCCAAAATAAGTTTTGTACAGTCACAAGATACTCTTCTCCTGCACCCTATAATATGTCCCATATTCTATAGGCAGTTACACCTTAATCTTGCAAGCTTTTCCAGAAAGCCTTTCTGTTGACTTATTTTGATGTGTGCCACACCTGGGCAATGGGACTGATGGCTCTCCAATGACAGAACCTGGGGCTACTTCCTCTGATGAGATTAATGGGGTCCCCCATCCCTGCTGTGCCTCTGTGCAGGCCTGGCAATGAGCCTTTTAACACATTGATCTAGAATACCATCCTCACTCTGGTAGCTGTTCCAACAAGGATTAAGGTCACCTTCGTAAGCCTAAAGGAAACTTAAAGAATCCCCAAATCCCCATGCAATAGGAATAACAGGATACTGGAGTTTGCCTCATTCCCACCCCTCAAAGCAAAACAAAAAAAAAGCCCTTTAAAATTAATACTTTAAAATAAATTCAGACTATGCAACTTTCTGAACTTGTTTACAGAGAAAATACAACAGCAACAAAAAAAAAAAACAAAAAAAGAGCAAGCTACCAAATCTGGAGATCTTGACATTTACAAAATAATCCTAAATATTTTACACATGCTTTTTGCAGCACCACTCCATAATCACTTTAAGATTTGATAAATTAACTATGAGAAACAAGGCTAGCCTACACACACTGCTGACTCTTCCTCACATCCCTCACTTACAAGTGACGGGGAAGCCCTGAGGCCTCAGCATGATACAGAATGCAAATGTCCTTGGACAGCTGCATAATTAGCAGTGAAACTGATCTCCACTACCACACCCTCACCAGCCAAAGAGCACATCAGAATAACTGAAGTCAAAATGTAGAAAACACGGTTAGCTGTGCAATGCCCAGAAAGGTCTTCTGCTCTCCGAGTCCCACTATTTCCAGGAGCTTTACATGGGCATATTCATACGCTTCTAAAATGAAGAAGCAAAAGTTGTATATTTGCTAATACTGTCTACATCTGCTGCAGTTTCCTATCAACTAAGGATAAATTACATTTTTCACTTCCCTTTTTTTTTTTTTGGGGGGGGGGGATATCTAATATTTCAGGCGTTTCTTTGGAGAACTTTAACCATCAAAAACTCTTGGTTGTTCTACCACAAAGTATAGCCAGCAAAATAACGTATTTTGGTATGGGTGGCCATTGAAACAAGACGTGTAACAAACCACAGCACAGGTGAGATGGAAGAGATATACTGCAATCTCATTCCAAAAGCTGACATCCCTCCCGTAGCAACAAGTTACCACGTCCGAAGAATGGCTTTCTAGACCTCTACTAACAGCGCTTACTAGATAACTGCAACGTCAGTCCAGGAAGTCCCTGCTACAAGGAGCAGAGGCGGAGGGTGTGGAGCAGCAAGCAACTCGCCCTCCACAACCACCTCGCTCCCTCGACCGGGGCTCTGCCGGGACCCGCTCTCTTTCAAGTAGAGGCCCCTCCCTCCGGAGCCTCTCTTTCCCAGCCAGGCACCTGCTGTTCCCGCAACCGCAGCCCCTGCGGACACCCTTCTCGCCGCCGCCGAGGTGACACGCACCACCCCGACCACCTCCTCCCGCCCGGTCACCGCAGAGAGACACCTTCCTTCAATGCCTCCTCCCCAGATGGGGCAGTGCCACCAGAGGCCTCGCCCGACGCTCTCACCCCTACGACTGCCCAGCGCGGGGGCCCATCGCCACCGCCTCAGCGCCGCCCCTCACCTCGTCGAGCCGGCGAGGCCCCGGCGCCCGCTCAGCCGCGCGGCCCGCAGTCAGCAGCCGTCGGCCGCGCGCACGGGAAGCCGCTGCCAAGCCCACCGACCTGCGCCCTCACCACCGGCAGCACCATCCCGCCAGCCCCGCGCTGCACCGGGCACCCCCGCACCGGAACGGGAGCAGGGCCGGGGCCCGCCCCGCTGCCTGCTCATTGGCTGCGAGCGCCGTGGGGAGCGTGGCCGGCCCCGCCGCTCTCATTTTAACCCTTGCCGCCGCCACGGCCGCGTGGCAGTTCGCTTGTCCTCGGGGTGGTTCGGCGTGCGTGCGGGAGCCGCCACGGCCGGTGGCTGGCGAGCAGGAGCGCGCCCTGACCGACCGAGCGCGGTACCCCGCTGGGGATGGTAATCTGCCTCTTCGTACGTTCCCCCTCTGGTTGTCTGCCCGGAGCGCGGCCACGTCGCCGGGCCAGGCCGCGAGTACAGCCCATGTCTTCCGTGTGGGGAGACCGCCGGGTGGGTGCCCCAGGATGCAGCTGCAGCGTGAGGGGTGTGGCGGCCGGCCCGCCCGCAGCGGCTGGTGGGTGCGTCGGTGAGGGCTCTCCATGTGGGAGAAACATAGCACAGGGCGTGCGAGGAGGAGACGGGAGAGCGAGGAGCGTCGCCTCCCCTTGGCCGCTGGAAGGTTTGCAAGTGGTGTTCCGGCGCCGGTGTCTCCCTCGCCGACTCTTCAGGCATGGTTAGGGAAGAAATGCCTCGGGCGGGCCTGCCCGCCCGCCTGTTTATCGCATTACCTTGCTCCTTCTGTCCGGTCTTGCCTGGAAGCAGCCGTGCGGTGTGCTCCGGCCGGGCTGCGGAGTGCCGCTGCTTTCCAGCCCCTTTTTCCTTGTACTTGAGCCGGTCTGGAGCCTCTGCGCTTCCAAAATACCATTAGGCAACTGCAAGGGACGTTGCTAGGTAACCATGTCCTCTGAAATCATTCCTTATCTCCCTGTGCTAGTGCTGCCTACCTTTTTAACATCCGTGACGTTTCTCTCTCGGTATTTTTCCTTAGGAAAAAGCTGTTGAATATGAAGAAGGATTACAGAGGTGTTTTACATTACAGGGTAACCAAAGGACAGTATTTTGCAAACAGCAGGTAGTTAATGGAGCTCTGCAGTTAATAAGTAGAGGTTTATTTATTTTTTCAAAAGCACTGGTGTGAAGGTACGTGCCAACAAAAGCTGGTCCATGCTGAGGGCAACCAGTGTTTCTGTAAAGGGAGGTCACTGCCCACACTGCTTTTGATGTCGCACCCTATCTATTTCCTTCCTCCAGCCTGTCCAGGGGTTTAGTCAAAACCATAGCTTTGCCTCTTCACAACTGCAGATCTGTGTGTCGGCTTTGGCCTCCTAGGTCATTCAGGAAAGGCTGGCTTTTGCACTGGGGTAAGAAGCTCACGTCCCGCATAGCTAAGGTCATAGTTTCTCATTCCTGCCCCATTTGACAGTTTCCTGCTGCCTGGAAACAAAAATTACAGGCAACTTGGTGAATGGTATCTCCTTGAGCTAGTTTTATCGTAGAAGAAGGGGCAAAAGTGAGGTGAGCACACGTGTTGGGGGGACATTTGAGTGTTTGGCAGTAAGAAATTCAACTATAAACAATAAGAAAGACAATGGAAATTGCAAAGGCTGCTGAAAAATTAGAGGTGTCTGTCTTCTTGTTTCCCTTCCTCTTCTCATCAAGTTTTGATAGGAGCTCTGTCCACCCGTGTCCAGGGGCATGCCTTAAAATCCTAAAACAGATCAAATGAAGTTTTCAAAACATCTCATATTGCACATGAGATTACATACATATTACATACATCACAATTAAGCTGAATGTAAGACTTAATTTTTTGTGGCAAACTCTTGGATCACATAAGTTCTACTGTTAAGTACTGGGGCCCATCTATATTGCGTATGTGTATATGTAATGAAATTTTGAGTAGTTTGGTTTGAAAGGAAATAAATCACTTTGATCTTCATGTCAGTATATAATAAAAAATGAGATGTTTCCCTATGTAGGAGGGGAAAGCCATATTAAACATAAGACTTGTTTCCTGCATGCTTCCAAAAGGTGCAGGGCAAATACAGGGTAGCAGGTCCTTAATCCCTTTATTCACCTACCTTTGGTAGGTCTTCATGAGCTACCTGGCTGGGCATCTTCACTGCAAAGCTCTCAGGAGAGCATTCCAGAATACGCACGTACCATAAAAGCTCACTTGCAGATCAGCTGCGGCTCTCAACTCTCCATTACCATGCACAGGAGACCGGGAATACAGGTTTCTAAGTAAGAAAGCTGACACAAAGTTAAGGAGGAAGGCAAAATGCAACAGCTGTTGTGAGCCTGTGTGATTTGGCAAGCCATTGACTTCACATACAAAATTTAAATATTTAATTTGCTATCATCTAATAAATATCTGTGATTGAAACTGATTTCCTTCTGTAAGCAGCTTTCTACATGCTAATGGCTGGCAAGGAACCAGCTTTACCAGATCAAATTCTACATACTCCATGGAAAACTATTTTGTTTTCTCACTATTTCGTTCAATTATAAATGGTCTTGCTTCTGTTTATGCCATTGCTTTATGGATCATCAGCAAGACCATGGAAGTATATATTGATGAGTAATTTCCATATTTCTTTGATTGAAAACTACTTTTGTGTTCTCTGTTCACTCCTATTTAGTCAAACATATGACCAGCCTTACTTGCTTAATAGTATTTATAAAAAATCCCATTAACTTGTCTGTTCAGATTCAGGGAGGCTGTTCTTCTTTAAAGACCCTATTACCTGTTGTATGTCAGCCTGTGAACCCACAAACTGTGGTTGCAGGCATACTGGACCAGATCAAATACGAGTATTACCCATGCCTACCCTAACTCCTAGAGCACAACAAAGGCCTTCAGGAAAGTGAGTGGAATTTCAATTTACCACCACATCTTTGCTCACCTGACATGGGACAGGATATGCAAATTTGGTGCTGTGGTGTCCTGAAAGAGTCAGAACTATATATGAAGCTGTAAAATTAATTTATTTACTGTAATATGCTTGATTACTGCATGAGATGGAGTGAATTATAACATGATAAAGGAGTAAGAGGGTTCTCCATGCTGTAGTGTACCACCTTCCTTTTACATGTAAGAACATCAGCTGGCTGAAAGTATGACATCCTGTTATTATATGGAACTTCACTCTCTCTATGTCTTGCACAAACAATAGTGGAACAGCTGTGTAGTAAGGCATGTTACTGATCGGTGACATCAGAAGTACTGTCTGCATTTAAACAATGTACAATCTCTATTTGTCTTAACCAGATCTTGCAACAAATAATTGATTTAAGCCATTGTGAACTTAACAGGTTAGTATTCAGTGTGTGCCAAAAACTTGAGTTATATATTTTAAGTGGCAGAATAAGGGATTAATCACTGTATCTTGCAAACAATTTGAAGTAAAGGAGGCCTGTTTCCTCCTTTATCCAAGGACATGAGATTTCTTTGTACTTTCATATCAGACAATACAATAAGTTATCATTCTGGCAATTCTGCAAGAAAAAAAAAATCTCACAAAGTTTCTATCCTGCTCACAGACCTGCTCCAAAGCCTACTGCAGAATGCTCTGAACTACATCTCTACTTCTGGGGAGGAAACAGTGCCAGGGACCATTCTTTGACATAGTTATTTTAGGCTTTTTCAGTTCAAAGAATTTGAGGGCTGTGTTGCAGCCCACTGGATTGAAATTTTTGTATCACGGAACAGAAAATGACACTGACTTTCAGTGCTGTGGAAGATGGCGGGAAGGCATGCAGGAGGACTGGTGGGTTAGGAATTCTGCTGGGATTCCCTTGGAGGGCTGCACTGTGGATGGACCAAAAATTCAGCCTTATCCATACTGCCCTTTTGAAAGAGCTCTTGGCAAGTGTTACTCTGTAAACCTTGCCCAGAGATTTTCTCAATGCATAAATCACACCAATGAGTGTGCTAATCATTAGTCAGCCTCCCAGTCTTGAATTTACTTTCTGGCACTGATTTATTCATGGCAGTGGCCTCATGAAACCTACATTAAGGAGTCAGGAAAAATACATCTCTATTTGTTACTGATATCTTACTGTATAGATAAGTATATTTCCGTTCACTTTACATATGCATGCAACGTAAAAGTAAAGGCAAGTGCAAATATTTTCTCTGTCAAATCCTACAATAATAAAAAAATAATAAATTCTCTAACAATAAAACCTCTAATAAAAGAGCTGCATTTCAGAATAGCTTAAGGTGTAGCCAGTGCTTGTGGATATGTTGGATACATTTGTTTGCCTGTCTCCTACCTGTTCTTGGCAAAAGCAAAGAGGTTCAGCTAAAATGAGATTCAAGGTAATGTTTCTATAAACTATCATTCTCGTATAATTGTATTTCTTTGAGAATGGCAAAGCTTAATAAAAACGTTGGAATACTGGAAATTATCCTGTTAAATTAGTAGAAATACCCACCTTGTTATCTGGCATCTGCAAGAAGAGATAAAGTATCGTTCAGTAAGAATAAGAACACTAACTCTTCTACTTTGCAATCATTAAATTCTTTTAATCCTGATTTAAAAAAAATAATTCCTTTAGAATTGGTTCTCATTTGGGTTTTCTTCTCTTTTTCTAATCAGGAAGAATTCTCTTTTTCTCCTTATGTGTAAAGAGACAAAGCTATTTTTACAAAGCCTGTTATTAGAGTTTCTAACTATGGAAGAAAAGGGAGGAGAAACACTCCATTTTACTGTTCATGATAGCAGTAACAACAGAAGTTTACTGCTGTACAGACTTCAGAATGAATTCCTAGGAAAAAAAGCAGAGTAAGCAGCTGTAATGAAGAAACAAGGCAACCATTTAAGTGTTCAGTACTACTTGATTTTACAGAATTAGTAAGATGCCAATAAATACTGTGAAGTGAGATCTACTTTAGTGTGTACTTCTGTGGGAAAATGGGGAAAAATTACGTTATTTTTTTTTATTTTACATAAAAAATGGCTTAGTATATGTGATAGCTTATTTTCAAGACTAAAAGCGTTACGTTTGCCAGTCTAGTTATTTTATTGCAGACCCTTGCT